AAGGTTTATTTAAACAACACACAGGGAAAATAAAATGATCAGGTGAATAAGATACAGTAACGTGGCTTAGTCTCAATCATACATACACACAGTTTGGTTCACACAGAACACTTAACTTGAAGCACAGACCCTGAACCTATCAGTTCTGGCTAACCATACAGACACCTGAACCTATCAGGTTGGTACTGACTGACACACAGTAGTACCCTGTCTGACACACAGACTCCCACTCAAGCTTCTTCTCTCAGCTCTCCCAGCTTCTCTCCAGCTCTCCTCACACGCTTCACATATATATACAGTACAGCCCCTCCTCCTGATGTCCCGCCTTCCACTCCCCATAGGATGGAACTTTCCCTCCAAACCCATGACAGACAGGTAACATCAGTGCTGTATGTAACAGGGGGGACAAGAGCAGACCTCCTTCCTGCTGATTTACATGACCTTCTCTTGGGTCCCGTGGTTGAGGCAACAGAGCCTGGGAAAAGGTGTGAGGACTGGGGGCATCCCTGGATTCTAACATTTTGTGTTGGGAATTTTAGATTCCTAGGGAAGTGAGTTTGTCATAGCAGGGCAAGTTGAAGGAACAGAACTAAACCTATTGCTGGGGGAACTCTCCTGCTCCTGATCTCCATGCCGTGACTTTTGTCTCTTCAGCCTCCCGACTGCCGCCTTTTTCTTTTTCAGATAAGCTCTGGTACTGCCGCCTCTCACCCAATCACAAATTTCTGCATTATGGAGATGTTGAAGAGGGTGTAGAAAACCCACTCATTGAGAGCCTGCAAGAGAAAAGTACAACATGTCTCATGTATTTTCTTTATTTACAATAGATGTACTTTTTCTTTCTTTTCTTTTTCTTTTTGTGACATGCTCAGTGGCCCTGCTGCTGGTAGGGGTTCTGGAACCTGTAGTCCAAAAAAGAAAAATGTTCCAGCTCTGATTTAAGAGATTAGTATTCCACTCCTAGTGTGGTGAAGGGGTGGCTTTTTATGTGGAAGGACTTTGAGCTCTGCTCAAAACAAGTCCTTAAGTTTTAAATGCTTTAAATATAAGTCTTTGGGGCAATGGTGGAGGTTTCCTCCAGATGTTGATTGGTGGACTTTGGGATTATAGGAAAAATGAAGTTGATGCTGCCAGTTTGAAGCCTGCCCCATTGCTGCTGTAAAGAGCATCGTTTCTGCTTGTAGAAATCATTCAGGTTGATTTCATATTCCTGTTATACACTCTTCTCCCCCAAATCCTGTATTCATAGATTGTTTAATACACTTGTAGAATTGGAAGGGCTCCTGAAATTCATCTGGTCCAACCCCCTGCTGGTGCAGAAACCCATAGCAAAAGTATCCCTGGCAAATGGCTGCCTGGCCTCAGGTTAAGCACCTGCAATAGAGAAGAGTCCACCCTTTTCCTGGAAGACAGAATATTCCTTGTAGCCCCGAGAAACTTTAATCTGTGCACATCTTTGTCCACAGTTCCAGTGGCAGACATGAAAGCCTTGCTTCTTGGCCGGGAATGTCCACACATAAAGGAGAAGAGCTCCGGCAAGCAGAACAAGGTCGGGCTGAATTTTGTTCAATGAAAGGATGAAAAGTGGGAGATTCAGCTTTCACAGGCTTTTTAAACATCTGGATAAGCTGAAAAACTTGGTTAGGAAAAAGCATAAGAACAAGGGCAAGGCTGAAAATAAGAAACCACACACCGTGTTCCCCCAAAAATAAGACAGGGTCTTATATTAATTTTTGCTCCAAAAACACTTTAGGGCTTATTTTCAGCGGATGTTTTATTTTACAGTCATGTCATCTTCTGGTTGCTGCACAGTGGTGGAGGGCGGGGTTTCACTCAACTGGGGCTTATTTTTGGGGTAGGGTTTATATTACGAGCATCCTGCAAAATCATACTAGGACTTATTTTCAGGTTAGGTCTTATTTTCGGGAAAACAGGGTATTTCAAAAGAGGAGTCTAAGAAAATCAATAAGAGATTATATAAATGCCATAGGCTTCCTCCAGTTTGTGAAGATTTGAATGCACAATAAGCCATTCAGGACTCTTTCACAGAAATATTTTTTTGTAGATGCATTAAACATTATTTCATATATCTCATTTCTTTTGCATCGTTTTTTTTTTAATCATCCTGACAAGCACAGGCAGTTTAAAGACTGGGAAGGTGCAGGTTTTGTTAGATTTAAGGATCTGTATTATAGTCATAAGCCAATTATTGGACATTAAATTAAGGAAGTGTTTTTTCAAAATAAAGTATCATAGATTTATGTACATCAAGTACTGCACGTTATAAACAGCCCCAAAGTAATGGAATAAAGCACAAGAACCTTGACTGTCTTTGAGGAACTAATATCTTATAAAAATGAATCAAAAATATTATTTAATCTATTTATAAAATATTGAATGGCAAAGCATCAGGACATTTTGTAGATTTAAGACTGGTATAAAAAAAGATATCAACAGAAATATTACAGGTGAAGAAAGGGGAGCAATACAGCAGTGGTTCTTAACCTTGGGTTACTCAGGTGTTTTTGGACTGCAACTCCCAGAAGACTTCACCACCAGCTGTGCTGGCTGGGGTTTCTGAGAGTTGCAGTTTTAAAACACCTGAGTAACCCAAGGTTAAGAACCACTGCAATACAGTACAGAGAAGCCCAGCATTGAGATATATTTCAGCTAATCTTTGGGAAAACACCATTAAACTTCTGCATAGGTGGTAACACATACAAAATTAGTTTGCATTTTAAAAAACCCTAATATGGAATTTTGGAAAGGATGTGGGGAAAGAGGCACATGTATGTATGCCTAGCGGTTCTTCCTATTGCTAGCAAATTTTGGGGAAGAGGTCAGGCAGGAAATATATCAAGTAGTAAAATTGAGTGTAATCTTGAAACCAGAATATTATGTGTAATTATTAATTAAATCCCTTCGTATCTCCCACAGGATCTCCTGGACCTTGCCTTTTCCATAAGCTACGATGTTGGGGAACATTTGAATTTTATCGCTCCCACACGGTACGAGGTGAGTTGCTGCCAAAGACTTCCTGTACCGTAAGGCAGGGGTTCCCAACCCCCGGTCCGCAGACCAGTGCCCCACCTTCTGTGCACGGACCTGCCCCCTCCAACTGGTCTGCGGAAAAAGTTGGGGACCACTGCCTTAAGGGCATTTTTTAAAGTGACTGCTCAATAGAGCTGGACTTGGGACTAATAGAAAAGACTACTAAATTTAGGGTGAGTGTTGGTGGCCAGCCTAAAACGTGTTGTTGCAAAGACCATGCCTGTGGCCTGTATTTTTGTCTGGGTCCTCTTGCTGCATCTGTGAAGTACTGCTCAACATCAGGGACAAAGAGGAGCTCCTCTGCCTTTACTCTCCAGCAGAAATGGGATTGGAATCCTTGCTCAGCCTGGCTCCTGTCACATATGTTGCATTACAGCTGCTCTCATCCCCAAACAGGATACCGGTTGACCTGGGGATCAATGGTAGTTGGCATCCACTGCATCCCAAGGGCATCAGGGTGAGGAGGTTTATATCAAGAGAGGGCTTTTCCAAACCTCATCCCATAGTGTAGAGACAAGCCGGTCAGGCTGTGCTTCCCCACTCTAGACCAGGGAAGGAAAGTGTTATTTGTTCAGAGTGTCTATTGGCACCCAGCAAGTGCATGGCCAAAATAAATCTGATTTTCCCATCCATTTTTACAGTTGATCAAAGAGAGTAGCATCTTCCTTCCTTCTTTGTAGCCTCTAGCATTGTGAGGAAATTTTGGAGTTGTCTTGCCTTCTAGAATCTGGATGGCTTCTCTCTGAACAAGAAGGCTGACCGAGAGTATAATAATCCTGTTATAGTCAGACTGGTATTCCAGGAGCTGCTGAAGACTGGTGGGATATATCTGCAGCTGTCCAATTCTTGTTTTGCTGACCTGTGGTGTTGCAGCAGCATCCTAGTATCTTGGATAAAGTCCACTTTAATAATTTTGCCTGTTAAAAGCTTGCAATGGACTAAGCTTGAATGTACCTTTTAAGGTCCCACATTTCCTGGCTGAACTTCAGTCATCTGTTCTGAAATTCACCTGTGATCCCGGTCAGCCCCTTTTCCTCCTTGTACAACATCGTGGTGCGGAGATGACTCTGACGCTTCAGTTTTTTCCAATAAAACATCTTTATTTAGTAACAAACTTTTATGGTCTTTATCAACAACATCAGCCTCTTGCTTTGCAGAGACGGCACCAGACTTCTCATCTTCAGTCAGTAACAGATTCCCCTTCAAAGTGAGAAGTGAAGAATTCCAAGCATGATTGTACCACCTATCACAGCCCAGATCATCTGGTGCTCTTACTTTTGGCCTCACTGACAGGGGTGAAATATCCAGCCCACCTGTGGCTCCCAAACTCTTCTGCCCGACGTAGGTCTTGGGTTGGGGCGGAATGGACTGACCCCACAGGGTTTTCCCAGCTCTCCCCATACCTCAGTTGCATTCCTTCCATTGAGTCTCTTGCTGTATCCAAGCTTTATATTTCTTCCCTCTCTCTCATTTGTCTCGCCCCAATAGGGTGGGTGGTTTCTATATATCTGCCTCTTCCACTCTTTCTCGGCGTAGTCTCTCAGTATCTTAAATTCCACTCATTCTCCTGTCCAGGGGTCTTCCTCTATCAAATCCATAGATGCCCCTTTTCCTCCACCTTCTCCATCCAACATGATTCTTCCTCCCCTAAATCTACCACCTGCCCTTCCGCCTCCTTTCCTGTTTCCTCTTGCTCCTCTTTTCCCTCCAAAATAGTGCCCCCTCTCGCTTCTGTCTCTAAATTCAGTTCCTTGTAAATCTTTCATTAGGTCGGTCAGTTGTCCCTCGTTGTTTCCTCTTAAAGAGATGGACGGTACACCCTTCTGACCATCTCTGAGGGTGTTCCCAGTCTCACATCATCCCAGTCTCTTTTATAGACCAGAACCCCTTGTGAGTTTCACCAGTCCCCTCCAAGCAAAATTAGAAGAGACCCAGATTACTTTTGGTTTTAAATAACACTTCCAGCTTTAAAAGGATACACACAAGGTTTCTGCTAAAACAATAGTGGGTGAGCTCCATGCCTTGTTTTTGAAATGGTCTCACCCTTTGGATGTAGGATTATGCTGTGTTTGGTGGATGTACTGTACGGTGCCATCTTCTCTACACTTATGTTGAACTTTCTGGTTAAAAATAACAACATCGTTTTGAAAAACACACACACCACACATTTAGTATGAAGTGTTTATCAAAAAAATAATAGGTTGTAGGAGGAAGTGGTGAGTGAGGGAAAGGTTTAACATGGAGTCTCAATTTGCTGTAAATTATCTCTCCTTTTGCAGATATTGAGGCAAAAAATGGCTTTGCAGATAAAGTGTGCTTCTCAGTTTGCAGTTCTAACCAGGGCTTGGAACCGTAATTTCGATTGATAGCTCCTAGATTCTGAGAGCTGTCATTCAAAATGTTAACTCTTCCAAGCTCTGTTTCAAGCTTTTTTTCTATAGATGCACTTTTAATGGAAATACAGTGGTGCCTCACACAACGATGTTAATTGGTTCCAAAAAAATCAATGTTGT